TTAGAATATTTAATCACAGTTATTAAATGTGTATGGTATAATGTAAAATCTAATTTTATTAAATTTATTATGTGATTATTTTAAAATATCTTAATATTTTTAATATTAGAATGTCTTTTTTTTTTCTTATATTTTAAATGGTATTTTAAAATAAAAGTTTTTATATTATCATCAAAACAATTTTTATATGAAAAACATAGACAAAAAATTTAAAATTTATTTCTTCATTGAAATTTCTCATTCAAAATCTTTCATCCAAATTTTCCATAGACAAATATTTAAAATTCTAAATAATTTAAAAATTAAAACCATATAAATTTTTTTTAAAACACCAACAAAGTACCCTTAAAATTCAAACACAATAGACTATAAATCTAGCCCAATAGCACTTGGCTCTTGTGGTTCAATAACTAGTACTATTGAAAAAGTGCATATCCCCTCTTTACGGGTTCGAGCATGACAAAAAGTTCAAAAAAAATCTAACCCAATAAAATATTTTATTTTATAAATCATGGAATGATGGGAAGAAATACAAGATAGAACGAGAGGGCTCTATTTTGTGCAATTGATAGCCTATTTACAAGTACATCTAACATATTTAATAAAATTAATTTAACTATTTTTATTTTATTACTTTAAAACAAAATGTTCTAAATAATGGATTAAATTTTAAAAAAAGGTGTTGAATTGGATTTAGTTTAAAATAATCAGACTTTAATATTTAGTTAAAATTAAAAATGAGTAATAAATATATTACCTATAATTATAAGTTAAATATTAAAATTAAGTTAGATTCAATAATTATTCTTCATTTTATTAAATATTTCACAGGAAAGAGAAGAAAATTCTCTGTAATTAAGGGGAAAAAAAAAAAAAATCTCTCTATCCATGTTCCTGCCCCACCCCACTCGTAGCAGGGATCATGATGTCCATGGGGATTGAGGGAAATTCACATCCCTACACATGCCTTGTGGACACGGTATTGTTATTAGGGAAAAAACCCTTATTAAACCCCCAAACTTGCCTCAAATTAGTACTTAAGCCTTTGAACTAAAAATCATGCAAATAAGCCATTTTACTCTTTGACTAGTGCAAATAAGCCCTTTATAACTAAGGGCACTAATAGTCCAAATTGCTACATTGACTTTGTTTGTTCCCTTTCTTCTCATCTGTTCTAAATGCTAATGTGGAGGGGGTTTTTGGGTCAATTAAAATCTCAAAAACTCTAAATTAAAACAAATGATTCAGAGTCAATTCTTTTATATAACTTTATATGTCATTTAATAGTAGATTATTTTTTAATTAAAACTTATAATACAGAGTCAATTCTTTTATATAACTTTATATGTCATTTAATGGTAGATTATTTTTTAATTAAAACTTATAATATTATAAATATATTTACTTATTTAATAGTATGTAGAAGTTAATAAAATAATTATATAAAAAAGTTATCTCTTTATTATTATTAAAAAATCAACAAAAATTAAAAGGATACTTATAACCACATCGACAATACCAAACAGAGTCAATTTATGTCATATGGACATTAGTTATAAAGTTTTTTTTTTTTTTTTTATGTTGGTTGCATAATGATAGGCAACCCTCTTCCATTTCTTATTTCACTACACTCGAATATTATACAACTTGAATTTAGGATCTCTTACTTCTAACAGAAGGAGATTATTACTGAACTACTTAGATCATTGGTAGTTATAAAGGTTTTATTTATGCTAGTTGAGGAATTAGATGACTTATTTGCATCATTTTTAATTTAGGAGCTTAAATGCTAATTTGAGGTAAGTTTAGGGGCTTAAGAAAAGTTTTTGCTAAAAAAAAAAATGGAGAGTCAAGTATGTTTGTTGATTAGGAATTGGGTTGGGTTAAACCAAGAAAATGGAGAGTCAATTATGGTTGTTGGGTAGGAATTGGGAATGGGATGATATATGGGTTAAACCAAGAGCCCAATAAGAGAAAACAGTGGGAGCGTGGCCTGCTGTTTCATCAATCACCGCTTTAGATTCCGTGCACACGATTTTTCTCACTAATAGAAATGAATATAAATAGACGAAAAGTAAATGGAATTATCTTCTCAACCAGAAAGCTCTGCACTTTTCATTCTCTCTCACATGGCTCGCTCTCTGTCCCAAGCCTTAATCAAGCTGAGTCCAATCTCCCCTTCTCCGGCGCGCCCGTCATCGACTCGGCTGCTCGCCGTCCGCTCTCAATCTAACGTTCCTAACCACTCTGACCTCTCCGATCCTTCTGATTCCTCTTCGTCAACCGATCCCCTTCTCCGGAAGCTGGAGGACGCCATCCACCGCATCATCGTACGCCGTTCTGCACCCGATTGGCTCCCCTTTCTGCCGGGTTCCTCTTATTGGGTCCCGCCCCCAACCTCCCAGTCTTACGGCATCGCTCAGCTCGTTGAGAAATTAGCCAATCCCTTGACGCATGAGGAGTCCATGTCCACCACCACAGTCAGAGGCTGGCCTTCTTCTGAATATTTCATCAAAGGTTTGATCTTTACCTAAATCTTTTAATTTTAATATATGGAATTGTCTAATTTTTGTTATTTGATTCTAGGGCATGAACTTTTCCTGGTGTTTTTGTTTCTGGATTGTGATTTAATCCTAATGAAAGCTTTCTCTTTTAATTTAATCTTGGAGGCATGTTATTATCTGTATGATGAATCAAATTACCCAATTGTTTTTGTAAACTCCATAGATCATCACTTTTTTATGTTGCATTGATATGAAGGTTATTCTGCAATCATGTCTTGTTTCGAGAATTAAAAATAATCCTTATGCATATCTAGCTCTCGAATGTTTAATAGCTTTTTCACTTGATGTACGGCCAATGGTGTCCTCAAATTTTACCCTGCCCGGTCTACATAATGCAGTCCTTTCCAATTACCGCTTGGCATCTTCTCAGAGAGAAGGTTTCAGGGGAAATATAATGGGTTATCTCCACTCTGAAGAATAGTTTTCTCCACTTTTAACAATAGTTGGCTCTGCCCCATTACCAGACTTGCCTTAAATTCAGTTTAAGAATAGCTCTTAGGTGATCTTAGATGTTTCTTTGATACATTTTGACCATATGGTACCCTGAGGAGATCAACTTTTATGTGAAGTGGTGGCATGATGTTTTTTTCCTTTACTAATGGGATTTAGAGGATCCAATATGAAATCTGATCTAATAATCCTTGTTTTGAGTTTGCCTTTGAGTTTGTAGAAAAAGTTTTTTGATATTTGTTTTCAGGAATTCTGAGGAGTTCAACTTCTATGCTGAAAAGTTTGATAAGTGGTTGTATGATGTTTTAATTTTCATTCCTTTGTGGCTGCAGGTGGACCTCCGCAACCAGTGGAGGTAGAGACAACATCAGAACATTTATCTAAACCCGAGGATGAGGAAGGATGAAACCTTTGGCAATAATGGCATCTTTGGTGAGGAACATTTAGTCCATTCAATTTTCCCTTTTGAATGCTTATAGCAGTCAAAATGTTTTCCAAAAGGGCCTCTTTTTATCCTGTTCATTTTCTTTTGTATTTACTAATAACATCCTAGCAAACTCATTACTGAAAATATTGTTCCTCTCTGTGTAAATTGGGCTTCTTTACATCACAGATATAGGATTTCACTCATCACATGTGGATTTTGAATCTCAAGTGAAGCGTTTTTCATTGAATATTATTAACTAGCGAAAGGGATATGCAGGCTCATCTGGAAAGATTGAAGTTGGAGAAGCAAGGACTAGGTAGCAGAAGAGCTGACAACAAGCTCTTTTGGTCAATTGGAGATGAGCTGTATAGATGCAATCTGGCTGGTTGGTCAGAGGCAACTTCTTTCAAGATTTTAGATTTGGAAATTATTGTGCATTCTCAATTTGTGTTGTTAAAGCAAAAGATCATCAGTAGTTGTATTATATGTATGATCTATTTAGCATTACTCCATTCCCGGTATACTCTTTCACTTACTTTCCCATAACTGGTGTAAATACTCAGTCTTGCTGAATAAAGTTGATGCAAGTGCCCATTTATTTTAGAATCGAACTAGTTGCTCAGTTCCAATTGCTTCGAAGGCTAGAGGGTGTATTACCAGACTCATTTGTCAAGGCACGCTGAGTTATTTAACTCAGTTGTTCTGCTCTTCATTTAATATACTGCTCTCCCATAACGGTACCTACCTGGTCTCGTGGGAGTAGGGGAAACATGGAGGGAAGCGGAAGAACGAACTCACACTGACAGAATCCACAGACTGAGTCTTGCGTCTCAAAAATGAACTGGAAGCTTTTTTTTTTTTTATTTCTTGGTTATGTCAAAAGTTGGTTGTTTAACATTACAAGACCCTTTAGGCTTTTAAGTTAGGGTACCAGCTTGTCCAAATTGCTGTTGGTAGATGAGTTTAAAGCCAATTAGGGTTTTTATGATGAGGTAACGGACATCAGATATTCTGATGACAGAAGAAACCAATACGTTCTGTTTTCCTTCATGGCAATGCTAATTGGTTTTGTAAAAATGCCAACTCCGATCCAGGAACGTTTTGGTTCTGTTAGGAGGAAATCAACATTTGACCATTAGGTTATTGGCATGTGCTTTCATGTCACCACCCAAAAAAGCATCAAATGGCGTTTCAACCCATGACTATTATTCGGCCAAAAAGTCCTTATCACTAACTACCATTTACCAGAGACTGGACACCACATTTAGAATGGAATAAATGTATACGAAACAAAGACCAGAAATCCTTAAAGCCAGTGTGCAACGAAGAAACTAGACAGTTCTATATCAACACATTTTCTGGTCTAGTATTCCATGTGAAGAGATAAAAATACAAATACATCACTTTTCAAGGGCCCAAAAAAAAAAAAAAATCATTTTTCTGGTATACCTGGCAAATAAACATTTCTCAATGAAGCCAGTGAATGTGATGATATATCCGTAGGAAAGGAATTCAAAGGACAAGCCACGTTTCATAATGCTGTGAATTTTCTCCAACGGATAATGCAAAGAATTATATATAGTCCAATCTTTGGCTCCAATGGTGGCCACATCCATAACGAAATCAGCAGAACTGAAGTGAAAAAGAGATGATGTCAGATGCTATCTCCCATGATCAATAGGGGAAAGGACAAATAGCTTCATGCACAAAGGATTACAAAGCATTGGTGTCCACCCAACATCACCAACAATGGCAAAAGCAAAAACACAGAAAATATGGGCTGTCTCTAATTTCATAAAAAGACTCGAGCAGAAGTGCTAAAGGTTTCATAAGCACCTTGTTGAGGGTAACTTGACACAATAAATCTCATCATCAGTTTAGCCCGTTAAAGAAGAAACATTGTCAATGGTAACTGAATTACAGGAAAGAGAGAACCTAAATTAATCTACCGAATTACAGAAAGAAGGCCAGGCACAGAGGTAAGTAGTTTTCAAAACAATGAACAGTTTCAAAATAGTAAATAAAAAAAAATGGAATCTTTTATCTATACACTGAATGTAAAGAACGACAGAAATAGTCAAAAGCTGACTTTAATTACCAGGAAAGCAAAAGGAATGGAATATACAGACTTCCAAATTAATAGAGGCCCAACATTCGTAGCTCTGTCACATGACTGGGATCAAGTTCAGGGACATTTTTATTTTCTTCTCGGTCTTCTACAACATATTCCTGACATCATGAAATTTCATTAGAAAAGTAATATGGTTAAGTTTTGCAGTTCTTATTAGTAACTGAAGCACTGGATATATAAATATATGGAGGAAGGGAGGGATGGAAGGGGAGTAGAGAAACTAATCTTCTTATGTCAAGGGTACAAACAGGGAAAGCAGAATATCTTATGAATCCATTAGTTAAAATTGTAAACAGTAATCTTTACACATTAGAATTCGCACTAGTGGAGGTCAATTTGATAACCAAAAGTGCACACTCAACCCTCCACTCATGATGAAAATATTTTAACATTTCATGTGGGATATCTAATTTGCATGCAACATGAAAAGGAACAAAAAAATAGAGATAAATGCCTAACCACTATTCTGGTCTTTTAAGTCAATGAAGAAAATTAATGCTTCACCCCCAGGCAGTTGCATTGGAGGAGTTTGACAAACTTCAATATTATAAGTCTATAATTCTACAATGCTTATAACAGACCTTTGTTAGTTCTTGTTTTGCAAGAACATGATAATGCCGTTCATTGATCCTCTGTCCACATATAATAGCAATGAAGAAACCATAGAGCAGACCCACCAAAACAATTGCTAAAGCTGCAAAGTTGAACAAAATAAGAAAGATCTTAAGTTTGTGATTTTAAAATTATTGGAAGAAGCTGGCAAATTCCAACATGCTGACTGCTCCTGCAGTCTTCTAAACTTCTAATATGGTAAATGCAGAGAATGCTAAAGAACTATTCTGATAAACTGGTAGTATGAATTGTGGTGATAAAAAGTTAAAATCTCAATCTTGCTAACAAAAGAATGGTTGGAACAGGCTTGTTGGGTTAGTCAAACCCCAAAATAGTCATAGCTACAAGAAAAGATCAAATTCATTTTTACGTTTTTCTTTGCACAAATTTCATGTCAAAAGATCCAGCAAGGACCAAGAAAGAAAGAAAACCAATCTGATGATGAATGCTTTGTATAAGATTTCAATTATAAATTTGTGTTAGAGAGCCTCATCAGGCATCCTTATGTTCTGTGAAGTCTCATACTTAACATTGTTTTTTTTAATATCCCCCCCTATTTAATTTATAACGGTCCCAAAAAACTCGTAACAGCCTATAATTTTTATACCCTGGAATTACATGGTTCATCCAGAAACCCCTAAACTTCAACTAACACCCACTTAAAAAGGTATCAAACTTTCTTATCTATATTCAAGAACAATTTCTTGATTTCTTGTCCTGGTTCCACTTTTTGAAGTAAAAATAACATTAATTATTAATTACAATTATAAAAAGGAAAAGCATTCAAAAAGTAATCTTGCACTATATGGAGTAAATCAGAAGGATTGCTAACGCAACTTCATATAAAATTGTGTCTTTTGCATCCATCCAATTCACAGCAATTGCAACATAATTAATACAGTACCAGCTCTAAGAGTTTTTCCAATAACAAGGAGCTGACTTTACTCTTGAAGCTTGAAGCCACTAGCCAGAAAATAAAATGGGAGACTTTATATACTCCACACATTTATCTAAAATGGGTTTAGTAAACATCCCACCTTTGTCCTTAAATTTATTTACTAACTCATAAGTCAACCGAGCTTCTTGATTAATTTTTACTGAAAATAAAATGGGGAAGGGTATGGGTGGGCAAGAGGGAAATCAGAAACTGCGAGCAAGATGTTTTTTGGTTCTGTGTTCAACACACGTAACAATTGTTTACTGTAACCCAAATTTTAATGCAGGGGCTCAGGTTAGAGTAAATCTAATAACTAGAGGAGAAACAAACAACTAATTACTCTATTGAATTTTCTTAAACTGGATTAATTTCAGAACCACCATAGTTGTTCAATCAACACTGCCACAATACCAATAATGCACAGGCATCTGCTGTTTAGTCCACCAAATGCATTCCAGAAATGAAAAGGAGAGAAAAGAGAGTCCAGTACCAGCCATGGTATAAAACCCATATGGATGTTCGTCATAACCAAACATTTCCCTTAGTTCCTCACCATAGAATTTGTAGACCAGCACCCCTAAGAATGCCACTATCTGTTGAAAGCATGGTTTCAACATACATCACAGAGAGATAGCAAATTTGCAACACATAATACTTTCACAAAATGATTCAGGTCACATATAAAAAAAATCATCCAATTCAAATCATTCTCTCTTCTTAATAGGAATATGTACATTAAAGCATCCAATATAGCGGTCTTAAAGCAACACATGGATTTTAAATACCATAATTGCTAAACATGGTTTTAAAGCATATAGAGCAAATAATTTTAAAAGCAACATTACATATTCCGTGGAGGTTCTCATCATTCAGTTACCTATCTTCTAAAGCTAATTGTGGAAATACTAAGCTGGAGAATCATTCAAGTCTTTCAGAGTGCAATTTTAAATTGCTGGCACAACTGTACTTCAAAACAATTTTGTTTTTTTCCTTCATAATATATCTAGATCTTATCCTCCTGTCATGGAATCCAATGAATTTTTATCTACTTAGTAATAAGTATCTAATTAACCATACAGTCAAAGAAGATAGTAATCCTTTTCCAAATAGTTGAACTATTCCAGTATTCTTTAAGGGTATAAGGAAAGAAAAAAAAATGTTAATAGATTTTTTGAGGTTGAGTCACATGCACTTTTAATTTCTATTTAAGTGATTACATTGAATATTATCCCCACAGATGCAGAGTTATGCTGTGTTTAACCCTCATCTCATGCTTACAGTGACACTTATTCCTGTAGACAGTAAGTACACTTGTTTTCACTTAACTAAGTCAAGTAAAGACAAACAACTGCCTGGAAACTTCTCTTAATGTCTATGGAGTTTATTACTACTCTATCAGAGAAGTTACGACACTGTCAAAAAAACAAGGAAGACTAAGATGAATTCCAAAATTACTTCTAAGATTGTGGAGCAAAACACTTTCCCTCGATTTTTAAGATGCTATGCACTTAACTCCTAAAAAGGGTTAGGGGGGTAAGAATAACCTTCAGCTTATGGAATTGCTCTTTTTGAGATGGTAAGATTATGTTGTTTCAAAAACTGAAGGAAGGTCTATTTACATAAAACCATAAACTTTTTGTTAACTTTTGTTCAACTTAAGCACTATTAGCTTCATGAAAGCAAACCTAATCAACTCATGCAAAAAAGTAGCAAAGAAATTGAACATGCAAGACAATCAATTATCATACCAGCTGAACAATTACAAAGATGAAAGCATGGTCCCTGGCAACTAGGAACTGAAATTTCAATCTCAACCACCAGCGATCAGGTGGGACATTTGCTCGTAATATGAACAATGCCCTGCACTCTGTACAGTGAGCAAATGCAAAGCCCTCCTAGAAATAAAGGAAACATGGGAAATAGAATTAATCATCAAAAATCATACAAAATTTCATATTCCATGAGGAAAATTTTGAAGCATTAACTTTTTAGTCAATTAAAGGGAACAGCAGAAAGAAACAAGCATTAACCTTAGTTGACCTCCAATTATCAAGACAGGATCTATGGACGTACTTCTGAGTGCCTTTGCAGTGGCAAGGTGCAATTAAGTCCTGCCCTGAAAATGAGTAACAACATGCGTTGACAAAAGTAGATCAGATTATGGTTTATTCTTTGGTCATGCCATCTTGAGTTTCCTCAAAGAAATGAAAGTCAGCATCTTAAATAGTGAGAAGAAACTTTTACAACATAAATAGATATCAAGTTAAATAGGTGGAATTGAGGTAACCACCTCCTGTATCAAGGCATATTCGGCACAGTGGTTGTTCTGCATTCACCAGATGGCAAGTTTCATCACCATCATCATCAATAACAACACAATCCTCTCCAACGGCTGTAATTTCACATGATGATGATGATTCTTCAGGTCTCTGCAAAGTATCAGATCCACCTAAGATGGGCTCGCTTTCCAAAATATCATCCCTACGACTATCATTTGACACTAATTGCATTTCGAGGGATACTGAATCTGGACTAAAGTGTTAAAGTCATAGCCACAGCAATATTCCGTGTAGAACATTTCAAGAATAATGGAAGCACCTGAAAATAGAAAAAACAAAAAATTGAGTCACTTGAATGGAATATCAACAAATTAAGTAGAATACTACTAAACCCATGAAAATGAAATTAAGCTCTGAAGCTGAACCCCCATTTTTCTGCAGGACCAGAAAAAAAAGAAAAAAAAGAAAAAAAGAAAAAGAAACCTTCTTAATTAAGAACATGTGAACATGAAATGAGCACGAAAATGCAATCCTGAACACAATTTAGTCATGTTTAGGTCAAAGAATGGTGCTTTTTCTGCATTTCAATTTCAATTCTAAAAACAACATATTCGAGAGAAATCAAGAAATCGAGATTAGGAAAATAGAAGCAGACCTGATAATTAGCAAAATTTGAAGATCATCATGACTTCGTATTCATATTGCCGCGAATCTGAGCTAAACTGGACTAGGGTTTGAATTGAATTTAATTGAATTTGAAAAAGGGGAATGCAAGCCGGCGGAGGCTAAACTATTGGAACACCAGACCCAGATTATGAATTAATTCATACTTTAAATTCATAAAAATCAATGCAAAAGGAGACTTTTTAGCCAAACCTTCAATCTAGTCACTTACCTTATATCTAGTTTCAATGGGGTCCGTTCCTAACTAATTCTATCTTTCAAAGGTTGTATTTGGTTGTAATTGGTTTGAAGAAATAAAGGAGACGGCTTATATTCCCCTTTCCTCCCCTCTCTTTATTCATATAAATAAATAAATTAAAGTAAAAAATAAAGAGAAATAATTTTTTTCTTTCTTTCAATTTGAATATATTGTAAATTTTTTATTGGGTTGTCAACTTTTATTTTTTATTTTTTATTCTAAATAGTTGCAATCATTTTCTTTTTATTT